TGTTTGAAAATTATACAGTGTCGTTGAATTTATCTACTTATGTCAAAAGGTTTATTTTCCATGTCTATATTCTTATAGATTCATTGGCCAGTGAGTGCAAAAGACGGAAAGCTTACCAAACCTGACATACCTAGCACTTGGAGAGCAATGGAGGCACTCTACAATTCTGGAAAGACTAGAGCTATAGGGGTCAGCAATTTCTCTGTAAAGAAGCTTCAGGATCTGTTGAACATAGCGAATGTGCCTCCAGCCGTTAACCAAGTGGAATTGCATCCTTCATTACAGCAACCCAAATTGCATGCTTTCTGTGAATCCAAGGGAGTGCACTTATCAGTGAGTATGCATAATTTAAGGTCGTTATAGCTATACATGCTACATAAATATATATGTCCGATTATATCGATCTTGAAGGAGTTATTGAGTGTGGTAGAAATGTTGTATGAACTTCTGTTTTTAAATACATAAAGGTTTTGTGACCTACTTGTGTCGGTCTAGTGGTGAGGGTTTTTGTAGTATACATGAGGTCATAGGTTTTAACCTGGTATGTTTATTGTAAAAACGAGAATACAAGAACCTTTTTTTATTATGAACTGGAATTTTGCTTACTATCTCCACTTACTTATGCTCTTCTTCAGGGTTATTCACCTCTGGGAAAAGGATACAGTGAAAGTAATATACTTAAAAATCCAGTGCTGCTCACGACGGCAGAGAAGTTTGGGAAGACTCCAGCACAAATAGCTCTAAGATGGGGACTACAAATGGGTCACAGTGTACTTCCTAAGAGTACAAATGATGCTAGGCTCAAGGAAAACTTTGATCTGTTTGATTGGTCTATACCTGCAGATTTGCTTGCCAACTTCTCTGACATCGAGAAGGTTAGTTCTTTCATGCAGTCTTCTGATCAATAACAAATGTTTTTTCTTAAAAATAAGTTAGTTTAATACCCAAATCATGTGAATTTTTTTTTTCTCATATATCGTAGTTTTACTTGCTATACAAATAAGATACTAAAACAGTTTATGTGCTAATAGCTAAGGCCAATGCAAGAATGTTAGGAAATTTCAGTGAGAACATACATTTATTTAAATTTTCTGATTTACTGATGCAGGAAAGAATAGTTACAGGAACTGGTTTTGTTAGCAAGACATCTCCTGGATACAAGACAACTGAAGAACTCTGGGATGGTGAGTAAATAACTGTTTTCGTAATACCTATTTTCTTTTCTCGGACTTTAGGCAAAATAAAGATATCTTTATGATATTGTAATAATTTACGCAGAAAATGTTATATGCACATCTTTCTTTCGATCTTCCTATTGAGACACTTAATAAAAAAATAATACTTTTACTGTTGAGTTCATTCATCCCAAATTATTTTATATTTTAAAATAAAAAAATGTCAATCCATTGGTACTCGATGGAGACACATAAAAAATTAATAATAGGTTTAAACCTTTGTCCTCGTATTTCTGGGAATTGGATTTTTTTTTCAAGTGTGTCAATTGGGTCCATGTGTTAAATTCAGTGGATGATGTGTTTTATAATCATGATTTCCACGTTGCAATTCGATCCTCTTCTCTTTCTTTCTCCGCAAGCTGTTTCTTGAAAGGATAGTCCCACTCCAATGGAGTGGTGCGCTTGGTGTTTGGCGATGTCACCAACGACAACTGACTCATCGTGCTACAATACAACGCCAGATGATGGAGTTCCAGTGGTTTTTAATGGCGTTGTCTGTGCGGCCAGGGAGGAGGCGCGAGAGGGTGGAGTTCTAGCAGTTTTGGAATGAAAAATGTAGTAGTCTTCTATAGGAGAATAGGTTTATAGAAGAAGAAATAGGTTTTTGTTGGCAAATCGGGGAAAAAGAAG